GAAGAAATTCGTCTAGTGTCGGGGTTTTGTCCAGGGCACAGCACCGTAAGATGAAGGACGCGACGTACTTGTGCGCGTTGGCAGTCAATTGACCCGGAGCAAATCCAAAATGGAGGCAGAGGTCGCGGAGCAGGCCGTGGAGGGGCAACCTAAATCCATTCTCCACAGAGTGGTACTGCATGACCATATATTTCCGGGGATTTGGATTGTAGGTTAAACTAATCCCCCCAACGGCATCGGGATGGTGGACCCGGAAGCCCTTGCCCAGGAGCACGACCATCTCTTGGAGTTCGTTCTCTTTGATAACGGAGGGTCCATGGGTCCAGGTTTCGGGATTCGTGGGGGCCATACCGGAGAAGGAGACGAGAATTTTGGGGAAATTGCAGTCGGAATTCGGGTCGGGTTAAGATTCAGTGGCGAGACGAAGAAGATGAGTCCAGAAGGGGTATTTATCCGTTGAAAGGTGGACCCGAGGTACTCGAGCGCGACGTTTCTAATCCGACACGAAGATCGAAGGCGGCTCATCATTAGTTTTCTAGCGACACGTCGCCAGAAAACTAGGGGGCTTGTGATGGATATCGGGTCTGGTAGACCCGACTTCAGGCCCAAATGGAGGCCCATAATGGCCCAAAAGGAATAAGACCAGATGGGATGACGGGCCAAGCCCGTCATCTCGTATTTGGCAAGTGGAAGGAGACGGCCCAAACACGAGGTAAATCGAAGCGACCCAGTCCAAAAGGGGAATGGGACACGTGGCCCACATCGTCGAGTTATGGGCGAAATGGGAAGAGAACGAGACCGGAAAGAAGGGGAATCACAACCCCATGATCTCCATAATCCATTTCCATTTTGTGTAATTTTAATTGGAATATTAGAAGTACTATAAAAAGGGGAAAACCCGCCATTGTAAAAGAGGTCACAACAAGACAATTCAATACTTAATCAAAGAATATTATCGAGTAATTATATCTTTCTAATTCATATTCCGTTCTTGGTCCGCCATCTGATCGGATTAATCCCATCACCATGTACCAAACGTAACCTTAGCATTATTTTTAAAATAAATTTACGAAGTGAAAAAAGTTATTTCCAGAGGCAAATTCTTCCTTGCACCTAAGTTCCATGCTCAACCTTAGTGTCATGCTCAAAACATGGAAAAGAATTGTGCGTAAACAGACAACCTTTTCGCTAATGGTGCGGCATTTGGAGGAGACAAAAGCTTCGGGATCGAAGCCTGAGGATTTGAAGGCTTTGAGCTTATCGCTCAGAGTTTGATGATGCTCCACTTCAAAATCCGTCGAATCTCCCTTGCTCGATTCCTTTAACTCCATTTCTTTTGTTTCTGTTTTTCTCAATATTATAATTAATTACCACAATATATGATAGATCAATTTCAATTAATCCCCGATCAATCTAAGGATTAATAAAAAAAAACATAGATATAAAAGCCAAGAAAAAATGGATTATTATATTCAAGTAATTAATTTGTTTAAACCATCTTAATAGATGAAAAATAAATGGCGAGAAACAAGCTGCTATTCAACATTTCAACTGCCTTATATATTTGTAGATGAGAGAAAATAGTGTTTTTTTTTTACATTATTTGAAGAAGAAAATTTTGTGGCTATGTATGAACTAAAGTAATTATTTAACAGATTATTTGCACTTAAAAGAAAAAGAAGAAGTCATTAACAGATTTTAATTAAGATTTCTAAATGGCGTGTTGAATGAAGTACACACGACCCGGTCTTGTTTAAGTGAGATTGTTTGATGAATTGCTTTGAGTTAGATTACAATTATTTGTGTAACTAATTAACTTGGAAGTACAATTGAAGGGGCGATGGTGTGTTTGGGTCGGGGCGGGGTGGGGGTTTACCGGAAGAGTTAGGAGGGATAGGAACCGTCAATTTTATGAACCGGGCAACTGAGCATCCCAGCTTATCCCATGACATTAGTTCCCAATGTCATGGGAACCAAGAGGCTTATCATATGTAAAGTACTTTGTATTTTATTATTCATTTTTAAATTTTTTTTTATTAAAATTGTTGATTTTTTTCAATACTTCTATTACCATTAAAACTTAGGAGTCACGAGTACTACTATTATCATTACTTTTTAGAGTTATTAACATTTTGATATTGTAGAAAAAAATCTATTTTTAAAAATTTGAGTTTGTTATATTTTATTTTTTTATGTTTATAATTCTTTTAAATTCAAAGTCAATACTTATACATAATAAAGCTGCGTTTTTATACAAAATTATGCTTTTATTTTAATATCTTTTAAGTAATGCATGTTTCATTTTTTTGGCACATTTTAGCATGAGTATAATATTGTAGCGTTTCATTTTAAAACGGAATGATACCAAATAGTTTTGAAGTTCATACTATACCCCTAGCTTATTTAAGTCCCAGTATTATCATATTGTCCACCCTTATCCGTGGTATGGGAGGGAGGGACTATGATTGGATAGTAAGTTTAATGTGTCTGTAATTTCGAAAAATCAAACTACAAATGGACAGTTCTACCTTCAGACATTCTTACACTGACCTGCCCAATCAGAATCCACCCGCTCGAGACCTGACTGATCGCCGGAGTTCCTCAATCGTCACCGGCACTCTCATGTCCTCCCTCGCTTTACTCTTCTCACTCTCTGTGTTCCTCAGTCGATCACCCTCGCTAAAATCTGAACTCCTCGGAAACGAAACCTTTCTAGATCCTTCCCCGCCGGCGACTTCACCGGTCGCCGGGGCGGAGGTCTCTTCGCCGGAAGAGGCGTCTGGCGATGGCGCGTCGTACCCTTGGACTAATCGGATGTTGACTTGGCAAAGAGCAGCCTTCCATTTCCAACCTCAAAATGGCTGGATGAACGGTACGGAGTGTATTGATTCAATTGACTGCAATTTATTCATGAGATTTGAATAAGTATAATTTTCTGGTTTGAAGAGTTGATTTGAGTTCTTTTTGCTCTTTCATTTTAATTTTGTGGATGCTTTTTGGGACGGCACGGATGGATGGATTATACCACAGACCCAAATGGTATTGTACAATGCAAACTCTTGCTTCATTCATATTATGTTGCCATATATGAAGTAATTATTTTTTTTATATTAGTTGTCATTGCTTAAGATTCGTATGGCTCAGGGAATTAAAATCTGACTTAGGGCTTTTTCTCTTCAATCTTCAATTTATCTAATTGGTTCTGATCAGATTCGATTAAATTAAGATATGATGCGATTGTAGTTATATTTAGAGATGTTTCTGAAAGAATAAGTAACAAGTAAAAAAAATAAGTTTAAGAGAACAAGCTCTAAATAGACATGGACCTGCCTTTTGCTTTGAACCAATCTAGTGATTAATGGAATGTAAGAGGAATTGAGCCCTTCTTTAGGAGGGTTGTAGCGAAAGGAAGGAGACACGATGCGATTCTCTACACTCATTTCAGCTAGATTTTTCTACCCAATTCAGTATTATTTCAACACAGTACTGAATCGAAGGAGATGCTGAAGAGCAATTAGTAGAGAGCTTTAACGCCTTGAAGCTGGTGTATGTTCACTAATAAAAATGGCTCAGTGGCTCTTATGCATCTCTACCTCTCGTGAAATTATACAATAATGAAAGACTAGGAAGATCTAGAAACAAGGAAATAAGGCATCTTAGTAAAAGAATTTTAATAAAAAGGAAACTAATTGGTCAACAAGTACTAGTTTAACTAGGAAAATACTAACTAACCATTTCCCAAACTTCTCTTGTGAACTTCTTGATTTTTGGCATTATATATTTAGTAAAAAGTGATGTGGTGGTATTTTTCTTAATTTCTATTGCTTACATGTCCATTAATTCCACTTCACAATTTTTCCTCTCCCAAACAAAGGGTTCATCTACATTCCCCCTTCCCTTCTTATTACTAATCCTCCACTCTATTTCCATTCATTATACGTTCTTTTCTTTCTCATCCAAATAACTACCTTTGTCCCACTATTTTTGCCCCTTTTTACCTTTTGTATCCCACTGTTTTTGTCTCGCATCATATTTAGATATCCAGGGGATGTTCAATGACACTTAGTTTCAGTAATGCTCTTTCATTTCAGTATCATTCAGTTCGGGATTACTATTATTACTATTATTATCAATAGAAGATATTATTTAATACTTTTCTATTGTGTTTAGTTTCCTTATTATATTTATTACCATGTTATGTATTCCTACTTTAGTTAGAAATCTCTTGTATAAATACTGGTGGAATCTTTAATCTTCATTATTCAATAAGACTAATTCTTATCAAATTGTATCAATTATAATTATTGTGATTATTATTTAGTTTAGTACTTATAAGTTTTATTCAGCTTAGTATGCACATGTTCAGTAACTATTAGTTCAGTTAACATAAGCTCAATCACATTATATTTTACATTGTCTTACTTTTTATCTTCAATATCAACCACACAATTTGCCGGTTTTAATGATTGGCTGGTCTCGATTTTGTACCATCTTTGGTTCCTGTCTCTAGATGTCCTGGAAATTGTAAAAACAACATTTAAAAAAAAACATAAATGGAATAAAAGTGGGTAATTAAATGACAGGTAACCAGTTGGTGGTCCTGGCACTGGAGAGACTGCCTTACACTTCTGCCTCATTGTAAAAGACCGTGGTTCTTGCTGGATCCATGTCAGTAGTAAAAAGTAAAAGTGACAAGGTCTAATAAGCATGTCTATAACTACTATGATCTTATGTTTGAGTGTTTAATTATGCACATCACTCAAAATTATGGTATGTTACATTTTCTGCAATTTTATTTAATGTCTTGTTTTTCTTTCTTCACTTGTAATCACCTAATTATTATTGTTTTGTGTCAACTGTGTATAAAACAAATTTAAAGCATGTTTAAGGGCATATAGGAAGGCATCAAATAAGGATTATTCAAACCGAAGGCAATTATCAAAGTTTCAACTTTTCCCATTTATATGGACTAGCAAATGATCCATTGTCCCATATATACTGATACTGTTATCTGTTAGTCCAAAACAAGAAATCGATACACAGTATTATCATTGCGATATGAGTTTTATCATTCTAAAAGTTGCATGGGTAAATAAAATTGCATCACAGCTCCATTATACCACAGAGGGTGGTACCACCTTTTCTACCAATACAACCCAAGTTCAGCTGTGTGGGTGGAAAATATCACATGGGGTCATGCAGTATCAAAAGACATGATTCACTGGCTCCATCTGCCACGGGCAATGGTCCCTGATCAGTCCTATGACTTGCGTGGTGTTTGGACTGGCTCTGCCACAACCCTTCCTGATGGACAGATCATGGTGGTCTACACTGGGAACACAGATGTGCAGGTGCAAAATCTTGCATATCCCGCCAATCTTTCTGATCCCCTCCTCCTTAAATGGACCAAGTATCCGGGTAACCCAGTTATTATTCCTCCACCCGGCGTTGGTCTGTTGGAGTTCAGGGACCCGACTACGGCTTGGGCTGACCAGAAAAATGGCCACTGGTTTCTAACTATAGGGTCCCAGCTTAATAAAACAGGTGTTGCATTTGTTTATGAAACTGCTGATTTTAAAAGATATAAGCTTTTGGATGGATTCTTGCATTCGGTTCCGGGTACAGGTATGTGGGAGTGTGTGGACTTTTTCCCAATTTCATCCGTCTACGAAAATGGGTCTGGCCAATCAATTAATGGGTCGGGTATCAAGCATGTCCTCAAGGCTAGTTTGTACGATGAAACACATGATTATTATGCTATTGGTACGTATGACCCTTTAAAGAAAACGTGGACACCCGATTATCCACAATTGGATATAGGTAAGGGGTTGAGAGTTGATTACGGGAAATGTTATGCATCAAAGACATTTTATGACCAGAACAAGCATAGAAGAATTTTGTTTGCTTGGATTGGGGAAACTGATCCTAAAGATGTTGACATTGCAAAGGGTTGGGCATCTGTCCAGGTACATATGGAGTAAAATATACTCCCTCCGTCCCACAATGGATACCACTCTCCAAAGAACGTGCAAAATCCCATCAATTTTAAAATCGTTTTTTACTACAAATTTGTATAGAAACAAATAGCATACATTACACCGTTCAAAACTATATCAAAAGTTCTACAAAACAAGAAGTGACAAGAATATTTTATTTCTTCAAATGATCAATGAAAACATACAAACTAACAGAAGTTATCGAGAAGCCGCAATAGTGACAGTGGCATCCATTTTGGGACGAAGGGAGTACTTGCATTTTGATTTCCTCAAATCTTGTTCACATTGATACCATTATGTATATCTGGTGTCAAAAGAACCGTGGTGTACATATGCAACAACGATGGACGTACATATTCCCAAACATTAATTCCATTGAACTAAACATTTTGTTTATCAATTCCTAATTCCCAATTCTCCACCACCCTTTTGAACCAAACAAGACTAGGCATATGAAATGTGTTGGACTATCAAAGAATTAATGGATGTTGCTTAAGAATCAGTTGGTGACTTAGTATATTTTAGTATGACCGACTACGTCATTTGATTAACCAGGGTATTCCTAGGACGCTTAATTTTGACAAAAAAACTGGGAGTCATCTGCTTCAGTGGCCAATTGAAGAAATTGAGAGCTTGAGATTAGGTGATCCTGTAGTCACTGAGGTGAATCTTCAACCGGGTTCACTCTTGCCAATCAATGTTTCAATGGCTACACAGGTATCCACTTCTGTCCCTAAGAAAACCACAATATAAATTACTTTAAATGATGTCATTTAATGGGAGATTTGAAACACTATAGCTAGACATTACTGTATCATTTCAAGTGGATAAGGGGGCTCTTGAAGCTGCATCGAAGGACGATAACTCTATGTACAACTGCAATAATAGTGGTGGCTCTGTTAACAGAGGCATTTTGGGGCCATTTGGTATGGCAGTTGTGGCGGATGAAACTCTGACCGAGCTTACACCAGTTTATTTCTATATTGACAAAGGTGTTAATGGGAATGGTGAGACTCATTTCTGCACTGACTTGACAAGGTTGGCTTCTTTACCTTACCTGGTTACTGGGCGTAAATTTGAGTAGAAAACGTGATTAGATTAAAAAAAATTATGAAAAACACAATGGTGAGTCTGGATAGCAACTATGAAATTATGAGACTGAATTTATGTGCAGTGTTAATGGTTATCACACAAATCCTCCCGCTAATGTTTTCAAGTACTGTGTTCCGTGGGCTTCTAGTTTAGCACTTTCAAACACGGGCTAGTTTGGTGCAAGTTGATTATTAATTTATTATGCTGATTATTTATTAAACTAAATGGATTGTGTTTAACCAAAGGAAACTAAAACAAGTTTGCAGGTCAAACTCGATAGGCAAAGTTTGTGCAAAATAAGATGGGAATACACATTGTCAATTCTACTTGTCTAGTTTGCCTAGATGTTCTTTAACACGGTGACTATAAGTACAAATGGTGCATTTTTGAATTAGTTCGATATAGTTTGGCGCCATTAGTACAACTAAGGGTTGATTAGATTGAGTAATAAGATGTGAACAAATTAGACTGATTAAGATCGTATCAAATGTCTATCTGGGATTAGTGTGTGTATCTATGTCTATATGCCTATACATGTATGTATCAACAGCTATGAAACGTGATTGCTGCAGATCATCACAGGCTTCTGGAGTTGAGAAAGAAGTTTATGGCAGTACTGTACCTACTTTTGATGAAGAAATATACTCTGCAAGAATATTGGTATATTTCTGTGCCATTTTTTTAAACTCACCTCTGAATGTCCCATTGTAGTTTGATGCATCGAAGTTATCTATGTCAGAATGACTAAGGATATGTTTATTTAACTAAGATGAACGAAATTTAAAAGTTTTCAATTCAACTGAATTGGAAGGTGTTGAGCTAAATTAAAGCATGCTTTTTTGCCTACTTACTATATTTAAAATATTCTTCTTCGCGAAATCTTTTTTTGTTTTGTTTTGTGAATCGGTGATGCCCTATAGTATCAATTCACAAATCACAGTGGATTGATTCAAACGTTTTAGATACAAATAATTCACAATTTGATTTTTTGTAGTTTGTCGTGTATTGTTAGATTACTCGGATTTTTACTTCTGCTCATCGAACGACAGGTTGATCATTCAATTGTGGAGAGCTTTGCCCAAGGAGGAAGAACAGTTATAACATCAAGAGTATATCCAACTCAAGCTATTTATGAAGCAAGAAGAGTGTTCTTGTTCAACAATGCCACTGGGGCAAGTGTTAAAGCATCTGTGAAGATATGGCAAATGCAATCAGCTGACATTAAGCCTTTCCCCTTTTAATCTGGAGTAAGGCCTACCGTGTGGGTGTTTTTCTGTGTTTATAAGCTGGTCAAAACTGTTTATAAATTGTTTTTAACTTATAAGTCAATTGACGACATCTTTTTCTGTGCTTATAAGCTGGTCAAAATTGTATAAATCAGATAAATAAGTATGCCTTAACTACTTATTTTTAAGCCAGTTTTTTTGTTTTGACCATATTATTTCCAAATGCTTATCTATCATTGAAGTCATTTTATTTCCACGAAAGAATATTCGGCTTATATATTAAAAACTGCTTATAAGTAAGAAATTAATAAGGACCGGCAAAGAGAAACACAGAGAAACACTCGCCATAAAAATAATTAATATGACCTTGCTTCCCTAATCAGCTAACCGTGGTTAGGTGTTAGGAGGCGGGTTTGTTTAGTAGTTTTTGCCAGTTATCTTGATGTCAAAGAAGTGAAAATATTTGTTGCGATTAGCTGCTGCATTATGCATATACTCCGTAATACTTATAAGGTTCGACATTTTTTTTGTAGAATCAAAAATTATTGTTTGATTATTATTGTTTAAATTATTTTTAGATTATACTGTATTATTCTATACTTAATACATATTATTTTATACTTAATACATATTGATAACACGTGACTTTAAAAATGTGTTTTTTTGGGTTGGAAACTTAGGAATGGTTAACTACCCCTTTTCTTCAGCTTCTCAAATTTTGAGTTTTTTTACCTCTTCCAATTTTGTTCAAATTTTTTAGTTCATTGCAATTTCTTCCTCATTTAGGCTACATTCTTTTGAGCGTAACTCTTTAACTTCCAACATCTTTTAACTCTTTCCACTTTATTTTAATTTTTTCCAGCTTCTTCCAATCCTTTCTAATTCTTTTCAACTCTTTTTAATTTCTTCCATCTCCTTCCAGTTTTATCATCAAAATATTGCTGACATATTTTTGACCGCAAAATATGACTATTAACTATGACAATATAATGTTGTATATTGTCATTTCACAATATATATCTTTTAGCATTATGTATTATATGTTGGCTTTATAGGTCTTTTTTTTGGATATAACAATATGAATGTTTTATAAGTCCTTTTATTTTGCTTTTATTTTGAACTTTCTCCCAAAATACAATCACCAACAATATTATTAGGGAGCATATAGTAACCAACACTTTCATGGAAATTTTTCCAGTATCAAAATTGAAAGACAAATTGTAGCATAAATGTACATATTAAGTCCTTAAATATTGAGATTTGCAGGTGGGCTCTAATTTAAGCATCTATAAATTTGAGAAGAAAAGCCACAATATTTTATTTGACAAAAGAATCTTTAAAAGTCAAATTTTATTTTATTTTTAACAAAAGAAGTCAACACTATTTTGAATTGATATACATTTTTCATCACTCCAATGTCACTCAACGTTTAAATTCTCTTTGAAGGTATTGCATAGCACTATATTGCTTAATCTCTCTTTTTAAATAGCTTTTTATTTTGACTTTTGGTAGATTGGTTTTTTAATTTGATTTTTCTATTATATCTTTAGGGTCAAAAAGATAAGAGAAACAAATTACTTTATTTAGATATATTAGTCATTTTATTCAAGATTAGAAGTTTTTATTGATAAAAGAAATCAACTCAACTAAAAGCTCAAGCTTGTGATTGTAGTCCAAGAAAGATTTTTATATTTTAATCTACCTCAACAGGTGGCCTCTTAGTCAAGAAGGCTTTGATATCGTATCAAGAAACCAACTCAATCAATATATTTTATTCTATCATTAAAGACTTCTGTTTTCTTGTTTGAAGGCTTATAATTACATACTTCATAAAAGGGTTTAAATTAAACGACAATGCTAGCGGTACATCAAAATGAGGTACCCCATTTGTACATCATGCAAACAAAAACAATAAGTGTCTGTGATCAAGGACAATTAATATCTGTATTTGCATAGTGCACAAATGGAGTATCAATTTTGGTTTACCCCTAACTTTATTCTAAGTTTAAATATCATTAAAGTCCAACAGTCCGACAACAAACTTTTAAGACTTTCTGAAATTGAATCAACTCAGTTAGTCCCAATTAATAGCTTAATCATATTGTCTTACATACGAATCGGAGTGTATACATTTTATTGCTCTATGATCTCACCAAAATACCAAATCCTTTATCCTTTATTTTTTGGAGCATTCTTACGTGATTTTAAGGTGCATATGTGAAATATGATTCCTCTCACACTTTTTATGAGCTTGTAAGTGGATCTTTTTTTACAAAATGATCAATTCTTTTATGATATTAATCAGGGCCGGTCCCGAGAATTCCATGGCTTGGGCCGAGACGGGAAAAAAGGCCTAAAGGTCTTATTCCTAATGACTTAACGAATTAAAGTGTGTAAATAAATTATATTTGAATTATAATTAACGTAATAATGATTTACTAAAATGAGTGGATCAAAATCATAGTAAAGGGTTTATATATACTTATATCCCCAAATCAATGTTCTGGAAATTAGTCCGAATGTCAATCCAGACGAGCTAGTGGGTCAAGGGTTAAATAGTTGAACCAGTCGACTCAGGGGTCAACAGCTTGATCAATTTCAATTAAAATAAATTATATTATTAGATTTTTTTAATAAATAAGGAAATTTAATTTGTGTTTTTTCATTCTTCCATCTAGTTTTTTTTATATCATTTTGCATATGTCATCACACTTTCTATTTTCTATTTGTATTATTTATTACAATTAGAGATAAATAATGAATATCAAATAAATATATACTAAAATAGAAAGGCAATACAATTATTTAAAAGAATAAAAGCTAGGTAATGTGTTTTTAGATAATACTATGTAATTTGTAGGTAACTAACACTTCATACTTATATTTAGTTGATTGAAACAAGAAAAGTAGAAGACAAAATTAATTTTAATATATAAAAGTATAATTAATAAGCATTTCTTAATTTTTTTTGATGAATTTTTTTTAGGTATAAGTATCAATATTAATTTTTAGAAAAAAACATAAAAAGAAGTTATTTTTCTACTTGTGTTTCTTTTTTTAAATAAACGAAAATTTTATTAAACGCAAGTTTTATTAGTAGCTCGAGTGGATGAAGTGCCCCTTGTCCCCCGCAGTATAACAAGGTTCGAATCCTGGAGCCGTCAAATTATATTTCAATTTTATATATTATTATACAGTATTGATAAAATTTGTACCTCTAAAAATATTGGGCCCGGTCCGGTAGGGCTGCTCGGCCCACCCTTGGGCCGGCCCTGATATTAATACACTAAGAACCATATTTATTTAGGGCATGTTTAGTGAAGCATAAGGATATAGGTTTGCACACAGGAGATATCAATTTTTTTAAAAAAAAGTTGTTTGGTGAGAAAAAAAGAATTCAAAATTTAAAATCTTAAGAAATTAGATATCTCCAAATATTCTATATCTCTATTTTATAGCCAAAATCCATGTTACCGCTTTCAAAGGAATAAGACCGATTTCCACAATACTCTCCTCTGCGGCCTTCAACCTCTTCTAGTCTTCTTCTTGCTTCTACATCACACAAATTTAAAAAATGCTAGAGGTACACCAAAAGTGTATCCCATTTGTACCCTATCCCCTCCTCCACCACATAAATGGGCAAGAATTTTAAAAAAATTAGATAAATAAAAAGTAGATAAAAATGGATGGTGGAGAAGGGGGTGGGGGACAAATGGGGTACACCAAAGGTGTACACCTAGCATTGCTCCACAAATTTTATCATCCACCACCAACTTTGCTTCTTCTTTGTCAATTCTGCCGTACTTTTCTTCTCTCGAAGGTATGTTTTTTCTCTCTTCCATCTTCTCCCTTTCACTAATTTTAGAAATTTTATAGGGCACGATTCTGTTGACACTCCTCCGTATAAATTTTTTTCCCGATTTGATTTGGCACAGAAATTAATAACAATTAAAGTGTAAAGAATTTTCATACTTGCCTTTGATGTGATGGATTCAAATAAATAGTGTAGATAAAAAATATTTCTTTTTCCCAGAATGATCTTCATATTTGACTTTTTCTTGGTCAAAGTTTGTAAACTTTGATTCCAATATGTGAAAAAATAAATTGTACTATAATATATATTTAATATCAATATATTTCTAATATAATGTACTTGAACTATCAAATTTTTATAAAACATATCTATGTATAAATATAGACATTAATGATCAATGTGCAATAGCGAAGATCATAAAAAGTCAAACAAGAAAAACATTTTCGGACGGCAGGATTAAGAATATAATGACACATTCATTAAATATTTTTTTGCTAAAATGCGAAACGGGAAATAAATTTCTAGACGTCTAAAAAGGAAAGTGAGAAAAAAATTAATGAACGAAAGGAGTAATAATTAATCATAATCAAATCCAATCCCCTTATATTAGCCCTTATAATAATCTTCTTCTTATACTTCAATAGAGCGCTGTTTGTGCGGCATGGAGATATTTCGCAAAGCCAAGGAGGTCCGGCTGAGGAGCCACCTGAACAAGTACTTGGTGGCGGACGACGACGAGGAGCACACGCGGCAGAGCAGCAGAGGCGGCGCGTCGAGTAAAGGCAGGTGGCGCGTGGAACTCGTGGAGGGCAAAAGCCACTTTGTCCGCCTCAAGAGCTGCCACGGCGGCCGCTACCTGACCGCCTCCGACCAGGCGTTTCTCCTCGGCATGACCGGAAATAAGGTCCTCCTTACCGGTGAAGACAACTCTAGAGATTTGCGGGTTGAGTGGCAGCCTTTCCAGGACGGATTTCAGGTCAATAATTTTTTTTTTTCAATTTTTCGGTACAAATTTCGACTAGAATATTAAATTTTAAAAAAAAAAACTAGAAACCCACCAAATTTGACATTTTGACATAATCGAGAGCTTGACACCAAGAGTTTAATTGATAGACATGCATACAAAATGATTTTTTGTACCACCTTCTTTCTGAGTATTTGTTCAGTTTTGACTTAATTCAGTCAATTATTTTCATTCTTTGACCTATAATTAAATAAAATATTATAATATTTTTTATTAATTAGATAAAATAATATTTTGAAAATATTTCATATGATAAACCTAATAAAACTATTTTTGCATCAATATCTAATATCATTTTTATTTAATTTGAAGTCAATGCTTACTAATTTTGTTGAAAAGAGTCAAAAGTTAACAAGTACTCAGGAACGAAAGGAGTATGTCGGTTACTCGGTTACTTCCTTCATCTCTATTTAAGAGTTTATTTTGTTTTGCGTGTCAAATATTTAACTAACTATATATATACCAATATACAATGAATTAAAATATAAAAATTATCCAAAATTATTTATATCGAGAAATATTTTATATGTATTATTTTTAATATCTTTTACTAATATTTTTTAAAAGATATTTTTGGTCAAAATTTAAGTTCATAAAACAAATGGGACAGTTAATTAAGAGTGAAGAGAGAATTATTTGTTGCCAAATTATAGGTGGCAAATCTTGTGTGCAACTTAACATGACTCATTTTGACAAAAAAACATGACTCATTTTACAAAACAAGCGGGATTTATGTTTTGCTTGATAAAGAGAATAAAAAGAAAGAAAATTAGAGGAAAAGAGAAAAAAATAAATGATGTTTCTTTATTGGTTCCCATTTTCTTTTCCATTATGGAAAGAAAGGATTTTGTGTGGGCCCATTGCCATTTTTTCTCAATCTTTTCTTCCAATCAAATTAAATAAATTTTGATTTTCAATTGAATAAAAATTATATTCACTTTGTTTTAATATAAGTAGCGTGTTCACTATTTAAATCAATAAACTTTAATTACATTCATTATTCATTTTCCCAACTCATTGGTTAAAATAATATAAATTATATTATCTCTTATTTTATACGGAGTAGAATTTTAAATCTAATTTTTAAATATAAATATTTATTTTTAAATTCTACAGCAATTTTCACATAAAATGAATGATAAACGAAAAGAACAATATAAATTGAGAAGTATTACTTTTACCAAAATAATATTATTAGATTTATGTTGCAAAAAATTAAAAAAATAACAATTTATTCCATATATTATTTCATTGAACGAATATGCAAAAGAAAAATGTAATTTAGTTTTTAAAAATGGCAAAATTTAGATAAAATTGAGGGCTTACGGCGGAACATATTTGCGGGCCAACGGCGGAACGCCGCCGTGGAGGAACTCTGTAACGCACGATAATCCCCACACGACTTCAACGCACAACTGGATTTTGTGGGACGTGGAAGCTGTTCCGGCGCCGGAGACCGAATCGGTGACGGATTATTTGTCGATGGTGTCTAGCTTTTCTTCTATCTCCGGTGAACTTTCCGGCTTGGGTTTCGGATCGCCGGTTTCTGTTCAGTCAAGTTTTTCTCCGGGGATAACTAAGGTGTGTTTTTTTTCTTTGACTATTATTTTGTTTGACTAAGTTTGGCTCATTTGGTCTTAGTTGCTTTGAATGGTTCATTTAATTTAGAGTAATAAGGGTGTTGCTAAGCTCACCATATTTTGGCTAAATCTAGTACGATTTGTTAATATCATTTTTTAATTGAAAGTGAAAGTGTTTTAAGAACAAGTAAAAAAAAATGAAAACGGAAGGAGTACAAAAAAGTTTGTATTTAATTATTTATCATGTTTGTATAATCTAGTTCGATATGCCCGTGATGGGATTTAACTACGGAGGTGCGAAGAAATTAAACGAAATAAAGGTAAACTCTTAGAAAAATATGTTCTCAGTAATTACTCTATTAGTTTGATTCGGCTTGAGTTACAATAAAAGATTTATCCTCTATTTTTAGTCTAAGGGTTCTGCGTACATGGTATGTAATTCATGCACTACATTATCGACATGATTGAACTGATGTGCGTCAATCGTGAGCGTGAAATCCGTCATCAATAACTCACTATCAATGGGATTGTGCTTCACTCATACTCGATTCGATTCGGTGAATCCCCACTCACGGTCTTTCTCGGTCCACTGGTCCTTGCTTTGCTTTTTACCATATAAATTCGGCCTCTCATTATATCGGACGTAAAATAATATGTTTGGACCTACTTGACTCACTTTCTAGACCTGATATCCATCACCGCGTAAGAGTTTAGCCTTATCTTAATATAAGTAAGATCAAAATATAGTGCAAGTCTCTCTAGAAGGAAATAATATTAATAATATTCTGCCCATAATTGAAAGATTCAAAACTTTAATAAAAAAGGTAGGACCTTTGCTTGCCATGTTTAAATTCACACAACTTTTTTTGGGAATAGGAATTGCCGGGAAGGAATCCTTTCTCTTGATGACGTGGAATTGTGGATGATGATGTTGGACGAATTAGGTTATCCCAACGGCATGGATGTCGTGTTTCAACATGTTCATGAGCGAGTCAAAACTGTTTATTAATACTTCGTTGTTTTTAATTTATAAGTCAGTTGATGATACATTTTTAAATGCTAATAAGCTAACTTATAAGCTACTTATAAATACAGAAAAAATAAGTATATCTTAACTACTTATTTTTAAGTCAGTCTTTTCATTTCTCCATTTTAACTAAATTATTTACAAAAGCCCCTCACCATTTATGAGTAGTTACAAACGATTTATCTATCATTTAAGTCATTTTAGTTTAATAAAAGAATATTTGACTTATAAACAACTTATAAATTAAAAAATACTTCGTAGCTTATTAGCAATAAGTCGATAAGCACCGACACAGAAAAACACTACTACCTTAGTGAATGAATAGTACAAGGTTGAAAAATTACGGAAAAGTAATTATTTTATGATTTTTGTTGGTGGGAGGGTACAATTAATTTATTTTTATATTTTTATGAAATGTTATTTTTATTCAAATAATGATAAATATTCGTCTATTTTGACCGAAACTTTGACCTAAAAAGTACTGAGCCCGTAAGATTGAAGAAGAAATTGTTGACCATGAATCCATGATTATAAATTCTCATATTCTGGACTTTTGAGTTTTGACCCTCAATGTTTTTTTTCTTTTGAGTTATAACCCTCAAAGTTGAACTCGCATGGAAACCTCTTTCCTATTTGGTAGTCTTCATTTCTAAGCTCCAAAGTTTGACCGAGTCAAACAACGACCACGCTGCCATGTTTTACTCAATGTTTTGAAAACCGGACCGAGTACGACCCGGAAGTGTAAGTGGGTCAAGGGCTAACAGGTCGAACCGGTCAACTCAGGGGTCAACAACCCGGTCAAATATGTGTAAATAATAATATTTTATATTACTCTGTATATTATTAGATGACATAAATAGTAAATAAAAGTATATAAATTTATATTTTTTTTACTTCTAGCTAGACCTAGATTTTAGTTTCATTGAACATATACTCCATACCATTTTACATGTTTTGTTTTTATTCTATTATATTTTCATTATTACTCCGTATTACGGAATACAAATTAATAGTGAATATAGTAGAAGTACTCGTTTTTCAAAAATATAAAGACTACATATTATTTTCTTATATACTATTGACATTTTAAAACTTATATTTAGTTGATTAAAATTTTTTAAAAAATAAAAAATGAAATACATTAAATTATTATCAATATTTTAAAGATGAAAATGCTCTGTAATATTTTAAATATAGGTTTTATTATTACTTAAATAAAAAATAAATAATACTAACTTTTAGCTTTGTACTAATTTAAAATTTCATAAAATAAATAAAGAGTAAACTATGATAAACATATAGAGCGTTCTCTATATTTAATAATTAGGATTATTTTTAGATTAGTATGTATTATCTAAATATTTTAAAAAAGTAATATATCTGTGTTGCATGGACTATAAAACTTATCATTAGCTCAGGTGGATAAAGCCTATCTTAAGAGGCCATGGGACAAGAGTTCGAAACCTAGCCAATGCATTTCATTTTTAATAAGTGTTTCATCTAAACCCAAGAACTAGCCTGTTCAAGCCGGGTCGTCCGGGTCGGCGGTTTTCCCGGTTCTAAACGGGTCAACTCGAAAACGAGTTTCAACAATGAACCGGACTGGACATGTGACTGGGTCGCGGTTCAATCGGTTGGACCGGCCGGTCTGGTTTTAATAACACTGGTTTTACTTCTTCTTTTTTTTATATCTGGATTTTATAAATAACCATGCTAGGGTTACAATAAGGAATGCATCCCAAAATATACACTAAAATATATATTAACATTTCTTATAGTTGACACTAACATTTTTGTTCCTATCTAAACCATACACAAAATGAAGGTATTCACTTGTGGTGTACAATTTAGTTATAAATTTTAGGGTAGAAGTAGCTTAATTCTTATATAGATATCAGTACGGGTCAGAACAGCACGTGATATACATATACCGATATACGGTACTAATGATTACCATTAACAGCTAATTGAACGGCGATGAATATTACCGCGTTGTCTTCTCCGAGATTATATATTGAATCGGAGTAGAATTTTTCAGACAATTTTCGAACTTTTCAACTCCCTTTGCTGAACAGAATCATCGTTTCAATTCCTTGCCATTTTTTACCAGGCGCCTTCGATCCATCTCCCGGCAATGGAGCTCTTCCAACGGGCGAAGACGGTGCGGCTGCGGAGCCACCACGAGAAGTTCTTAACGGCGGAGGAGGACGAGGAATCGGTCACTCAGGACAGGAACGGCGCCTCCGCGAGCGCGCGGTGGTCGGTGGAGATCCCGGGGAACTCCGACAACGCCGTCCGCCTGAAGAGCTGCTACGGCAAGTACTTGACCGCCTCGAACCACCCCTTCCTGCTCGGCATGACTGGCCGGAAAGTTCTCCAGACTTTGCCGACCCGTCTCGACTCCTCAGTGGAGTGGGAACCTGTCAGGGAAGGCGCGCAGGTGAAATTCAGGACAAGGTACTGTGCCCTAGCTAAAATCGACGATTTCTATTGCCCGATTTGTGCCCTAGATCGGGAAATTGATCGGATTTTTAACCGCAGGTACGGCCAATTTCTGAGAGCTAACGGCGGATTGCCGCCGTGGAGGAACTCCGTCACGCACGATGTTCCTCATAGGTCGGCGACGCAAGATTGGATTCTCTGGGAGGTTCATGTAGTGGATATTGTGGTAACTTCCCTTCCCAAACCCCCGCCTCCATTGGTTTCCCGTTCAGATTCATTTCCTTCTGAAACAGATTCGCCTTCGACTGCTTCATTCACTTCTCAGAGCTTTTCTGGTAGAGAGGTATACCGCAATTCACGCTCTTTCTGTTAGTATTTGAATCTTAAAAATGGAAAATTTCCTATGTTATATTAGTTCTTATATTTGAATTTATTTATTCCACTCATCTTCTTCCAAAAGATGGCCATTTCGTCACTAGGTTAGCTTCAAGGCTTCCTTCATTTGGGAGTAATGTTTGTGATTAAAGTTTGTATTTTGAAGGGGCTGTTTGTTTCAGCCTCTTAATGGTTCAGATGTCTGAATGGTTCAGCACTTAATGGTTCAGACTGTTTGTTTCAGCCTCTTAATAGTCCAGATGTCTGAATGGTTAAGAGATTTGCCTCTGAATGGTTAAGTATTATACAGAGTCTGAATGGTTAAGACCTCTTATCTGAATTGATCAGACATTTACCTCTGAATAGTTAAGCAATATAATAGCTCTTAATGGTTCAGACCTCTTACTGGTTCAGCACTTAATGGTTCAGACCTCTTACTGGTTCAGCACTTATCTATTCAGAAGTTACCAAACAGCCCAGTTTTCATAACTTCTAAAGGATTTGGTTAGATATCATTTCAAAATGTTGAAGCCTAATGACAAATTGTACCATATGATAGAGAATCATTTTCCTTTTACAAAATACTTGTTGGGATTTTCAGCTGTTTTGATACATTTGAGTGTATTATCAATACTCAAGCATGTTGTGATCAACTCAAGCACTAACTGTGTTATTTTCTGAAGCATGTTCTTGGTATTCTCCACAATGGTTTTAATTCTTACTGTCTTAGGATTGGCCATTTATCTCCCCAAGTTGAATTCTGCTATCATTCTATTTCCAAGATGTCCACAAACACTTGATTTTCCATAAAAAGAACTTCATCTCTTTTGGGCCTATCTGGCTAAAGAGAGTGAAAATGCCAATTTTACTCCTTCCATTTACCAAACAGGAAAAGAGGACTATTTGGGGACCGACAAAAAGAGGGCTATTTTGACATGGTTTTTTTATCAAATAGGAAACATTTTACCTTCCAATCTGTTTTAGTTTGGATTTGTTTATCATAAATATTATTTTGACTGTACTCACAATTTTTTTAAAATTTTTGCAGTCGGGTGATTCTTTGGATAACACGGTGAAAATGGTTGGAGATGGGAGGCTGATCTTTTACCGTATCGCGGACGACCATGGGGAGATTGATGAAGGGGTAGAGGAGCTCTGCGTGCTGTTCAAGGGGAACGAAGTGGATGAGTTGAGGAAGAGACTGGAAGAAGAGACAGGGATGTACGGCATTGTTGTTTGCACTCGAAGTGTATTGAATGGGAAGCTTTACCCCCTTCGGTTGCATCTTCCTCCGAACAACGCAGACATGTCCGTTGTCATTGTCCCTTCCTCTTGTAAAGGTATTGTCCAAAACTAGTCCACATAAAAGTATCACTCTCTTCGTGCAGAATTAGTCGTTCATTTCTTATTTTTCGTTTTTTGAAAATTAGTCCTTTTTATATCTTATGATGGATTTTCTATAATATCTCAAACATGGACTATGAACATTGTTGACATAAACGAGTAAGAAATTTATTTGAAGGACTTAATTTTCTAAATAGCTTCTTTATTTTGGTGTTTTTCCAGTGTTGTTGAAAGATTTCGAAACGGGAAGAACGCAATTCTAAAAAGCTACCAAAGTTGGACTAGCATGGAGGAGGATTAGAAGATGATTATTATATTTCTTTGATTTCTTTTTTATTTTATGGGTTCTGAATTTTTCTTATTTAGAGTTCTGTTTGCCCTTATTGGTTTGGTCTGTAAAAAAAGTTTTGTAAATACCCGGAGTACATAGTACTAGCGTGTAATATACATAAAATTGAAACTATGATTTTTACTTTCTTCTAAAAGAGGATATACTCTAAGGAGGTAAATTGTGTATTTGTGTTATAATTTTAGAGTGGTAAATAAAGAGTAAATTAGACATTGGTATGTGCAATGATTTTTCAGTCTTAATAGTGATGTAATAATACTCTAATGTTACCAAAGTTTGTCACTTTGTATATCACAAATCAAAAATGTTAGGGGTACACCAAAAGTGCACTCGAAATGTACGTCATATCCTCCATTATCACATATTTTGACATGTAAAATAAAAAAAAAATGAATAAAAATGAGTGATAATGGAGTGGTGTATATTTCAGGTACACTTTTGGTGTACCCCTAGCTTCATCCCCCATCACAAATATTTGCTGACAATCATTATTGTGTGTCTATAAAAAAAGCTATCAGACTTTAAATATCTTCAGTTTGTTGTATGAATTATTTAAAAAGAATAAACCTATGCTATGTCAAAATGAGATATCCCATTTGTACATCAGACAAACACAAACACTTATTATCTGTGAATTACAGACATTAAGTATCTGTGTTTTCCTGGTGTACAAATGAGGTACCCCATTTTGGTGTACCTCTAACATGCCCAATTTAAAAATTAAGAAAAATGCTAGGGGTACACCTTTGGTGTACCCCAAATATCTCTCACCCCTCCATAACCACAAAAATTTGCATGTAAAATTCAAAAAAAAAAATAAAATAAAATAAAAATGAATGGTAAAGAGGCTTGTGGTGTACATTTGGAGTACACCTTTAGTGTACCCCTAACATCTCCCAAAAATTAAACACGTTCTATGAAACGTTTTTCCTAGGCGCATAGATATAAAGAACATTCTTTTTGTTAGTTTTCTCTTATCTTTTGATTTATTTTTGTTTATAACAAGTACTACCTCTTCCCCAAAGACCTCCCAAGACCCCTCCAAAATACAATTCAGTCCAAAAAAAAGAACAAAGCAATTTATGTACCTCCAAGTAGATACCAAATTGTGGTTGATCACTGCAAAGAACAAAATGTGAAATTTACATGCATCCCGTACTTTTTTTTACTTTTCAACACTTTTCTTAAGGGTCACTTTTTTTTTTTTACTTTTCAACACTTTTCTTAAAGGCCGCCTAATCAATTTGTCAACGGGCAGAGAGTGTATAGCTATAGCCTATAGCAAAAAAGATTCAAAAATAACTCCACCCAGGTTCTTTCTCTACACCCTTTCCCCTCATAGTACTTCTAAGTTTCAACACCTCCTCCCACTGACCCACACCTGCCCGGATATTCGACAAAGAAACGCAACTTCCAGCTTCAAATGGCTCCAATTCAGAAATTTTTCCGGTCGCTAGCTGCCCGAGCCGAACTTCACCATGCACTTTGCTAGCAGCGAGCAGCGTTTTCCAGACCAAAGCATCGGGTTCTACAGGCATCTCATGAATAAACCTCTCAGCCTCTTCCAGCCTCCCGGACCGACCAAGAACGTCAACCATACATGCATAATGCCTGTTACTAGGCTCTATCCCATAATCCTCTTTCATTGATTTCAGGAAAAAATACCCTTCTTGTACCAAACCAGAGTGGCTACAAGCAGAGAGAAGACTGGTGAATGTCTTAGAATCAGGGGCGATTTCGGATTTCCTCATAAGCTCAAAAACCATTAAGGCCTTGCCTCCCTTCCCATGCTGAGCATAGCTTGAAATCATGGCTGTCCAGCTGAACAAATCAGGGCATTGGATCTGTTCAAATGCTCGGCAGCATTGGTCGATGCTTCCACATTTTGAGTACACCATAGCCAATGAGCTTCCAACAGAAGCATCCGAGTCTAATCCGCGTTTTATACTCTGGGAATGGAGTTGGAGGCCAATGCCAGATTGGGTCAGAGGAGGAACGGAGCTAAGCATGGATGAGACTGTGAAAGAATCTACAGGCAAATCATTTGCGAGAATTTCTTTGAACACTTGAATGGATTCGCATATGTAACCTCTTTGAGAGTACCCGGCAATCAAGGAGGAGCACGAAAACTTGTCTTTATGGGGCATTATAAGGAACAATCTCCTCGCGGAAACTAGGTCTCCGCACTTTGCGTACATATTCACCAGTGCACTCTGACTACCTCCATTGCCAAACTCATCCGTTCTGCAACGGAAAGCAAAGCCATGGATTTCTTTACCAGTCCTCAAGGACTGAAGAGAGGAGCATGCAGATAGGACGGCATTTAAAGTCATTTCATCGGGCATTGTTTTCTCTGAGAGCATCTCTCTGAACAACCGGATCGACTCATGTGGGCGACCATGATGTGCAAAATCAGAAATCATTGATGCCCAGGAAACGTTGTCTTTGCACTCAATAAGTTTAAAAACTGTGTAAGCTTCCAACAAGCTAAAACAATTGGAATACATTGTGAATAGGGTGCTGCTCAAAATCATATCGCCAATTATTCCAAATTTGAGTGCATAGCAATGAATCTGCCTGCCTAGGTTTAGACAGTTTATAATACCCAAAACACTAGAACAACAGACCTCATCTGGTTTTACCCCCTCGTGAAACATTCTCTGAAACAAAAGAATTGCCTTAGAGGGGCTCTGGCTTAGTGAACAAGCAGAAATCATATTAGCCCATAAACCAAGGTGCTGGAGATCTTCAGCCTCTGAAAAGACCATTTCGGACAAATCATATGCCCCAATCTTAGAGTACGTATTGATCAAAGAGATTTTAACCAATGAATCCTGATAAAACCCAGCTTTAAAGATCCATGAATGGATTTGCGATGCTACTATACTCATAGCTGACTTGGCACAAGCTGTGAGCACGCTGGAAATGGTAAAATCATTTATTTCCACCCCCTTTTGCCTCATTTCAACAAACAATTGAAGCGCGGAAACATAGTCTCCGCTCTGAACGAACCCATTTATCATAGCTGTCCAAGAAACAACACTGTGACCTGACTTCTCAGCGAATACCTTTACAGCCTCGTTCAGAAACCCGCCTTTGGCATACATATCGACCAAAGCAGTCTGCACAAAGACATCGTTCTCACACCCACATTTTGTTGCCCACACTTGGACCATCTTCCCCATCTCAAACTCCTTAGCTGCAGCACAAGCTTTTAGCACACTTGAGAAAGTTACACCATTCGGTATCAAAGACTCACGGCACATTTGAATGAAAATGTCTAAAGCATTCCAATGTTTCCTACTTTTAATAGCTCCAGATATAATAGCATTACAACATACTACATTACAGCATTGAAAATCATAAAACACCTTTAAAGCATCATTGAATCTGCAACTCTTAACAAACAAATCTATCATTCCAGACCTTACGTAACCATTCGAAAAGAACCCATTTTTCATTACAAGGCCATAAACCTGCTCGCCGCAAATCACAGACTCCAAGGCTTCGCAGGCAGAAAGAATTCCTCCGTATGTAAACCCATCCATACATACCCCTGACTTGTGCATACGGCAAAAATATTCCCATGACTCTCTAAACAACAGAGCTCTGTTACAGCCCGAAATAATAAGGTTCCAGCAAAAAGGATACGGAACAGTCATTCTGTCGAACAACTGGAGTGCATAGTCCATTCTTGAACACCGGTAGTACCCATCCAGTAATGATTTGACGGCCGAGAAGTTTTTAACCGAGGATTGTGCTCTGATGAAACGAGCGTGCAGGATTTTGGTTTCAGACAGCGGTTTGAATGATGACTTGCAGGGTTCTTGGAAGGAGATTTCGGGTTGTTCTTCTGAGAAGACTGATTGGGTTTCAAGAGCTGTGACGGCTGATATCGATCTGCTGCCGAAGACTGAAACTTTTGGTTGAAATTCTCGTTTAAATATAGAGTTCATCCGAACTGATTAAGAATCGGAAAAAACAATCCTACACAGACATCATTCTCACAATCTCACTCACATTTTGTTGCCCACAAATCCACAATTGGACTGCAGGAGTTTTTGGGTAACGTCCACATTTGGCTAACTAGTGATCTTTTCTTTTCTTTTTTTCCTCAAAATATTCAATATTTCTAAAGGTGTTTCTAATTAAAATCTATATAGTAAAATTTGCACTAAATAGGACTATAACATAATGACTTTCTCAATGTAGGACTTAAACTTTTTTATTCCCTAAATAAGATTTAATAATGACCTAGTGGAAGGAATAATATCTAATAATGATGGACATTTACTTGAATAATGACTACTTGATAATGACCAAAAGTCCTACATTGAGAAATAAAAACATATGGTCCTATATTGGGAAAATCATTATGTTTTAGTCCTATTTAGGTAAATTTCTCATCTATAGAATGAGAGTCAATCAAAAGAACACGTTAGAATTCCCCATTACAGATTACCCCCATCCTAAAACTTTCTTCTTCAATATTCATTATGTCAAATTTTATTCACTTTATTACCTTTACTTTGTTACTTATTTGATAAAAAATTTAGTCATGTCACCTATTATTTTGTAGATTTTTTATATACTAAGTTTTTCATATATAATATTTATTTTTATATTCTACATTAAATTTCTCATCAATTAAATTGAAAATAACACTAGTTAAAAAAAAATTAGTTTTAGGACGATGGGAGTATTATTCAGCGCCTTCTGATTTCGAAAATAGGCACCAATACCTTATTCTTTAAAAATTTATTTTTAAAATCTCTATAGTTTCAAAACGTTGCACAGACACTTCTCCGACTATTTTCCGTTCAGTTTTTTGAGGAAAAAGGGGCATTGATGCCTAATTCTCATACCACATGAGGCATCAAAGCCCAATATATCTTATTTTCCGTTCATTTTTAATTTTCTAAAAAATGATTCTTTATAAAAAATCAAAATTGTTTGTGTTTAAAATAGAAAATAAATGAAATGAAAAAATTAACATATGCCCCGTCTATAAAGATCTTATTATTTTCATTTTCTAAAATAAAAAGAATTATTTTTTGGACGTTCAAAAAGTAAATGAAGAGTATGAAAGAAAAATAAAATGAGAGAAAAATTGAATAGTAAAAGAAGATGAAAAAATAAAAAGATATAAAAAATACCTCTATAGAAATTAAAAAATATAAACATGTGCGTTGATAAGGTTCTTTTTAGTACATTCAAAAAATATTTGTATGGATGTTCCAAAAATATATTCCTTTTTAATTTTTAAAATAAAAAATATTTTTTAAAAGTGTAAATCATTTTGGTATCTATGTGTCCAAAATTAACCAAAACAAGTCATGACTATCTAGTTCCTACTATTACAAAAAAGGATGAACACCATTGTTGAGTATCCTTTAGAATCGACCTGACAGTGAGAGAACGTAAATTGGACTTGGCTCACACATTGATAGTAAAGAGTGGAGTCTGCATTTGATGAACAGGGTTTCTTTTGACTTCTCACAATTTTCATGGGCTTACAATTGGGTCTTTTATTTTTGTAAAAGCCCAATTATTTTATGTTATTCATGTGCTAAGACTCAGAAACGAGTGTAGAACTAGAGTCCACAAATGAATTTCCCACATTTAATACTTAGAGAGGCCAAATTTTTAACATACTCCGTACTTACTTTCTAACATTGTTGTCAGAAATCGAACTCAAATATTACTATTAGACATTTCCTTATCTTGCTATAGGAAGGTGTACTATGAGTCTATCACCAAATCACATGCCCTATCCATTGCTTGGTTGATCTTTCAATTTTGTGGTGGCCCAATAATTCCGTAAAATGGACCCGTCTGATAGGACTCAGCGACCGAACGACGCCGTTCCTCATTTCCATTTGGCTTCTCCAGTTGCCATATAATCCATTCAGCGAAGCCATAGCAGATTCTGTTACACCAAAAGATACTCTGTCCCCAACCCCCGCACGTTCTCACACCGCTGCCCTATCATGTGCTTCCACGTCACCTCCCAGTGAACCGTCGTAGTCACCGCCTTGACGGTTGCCGGCCGCCGGACTCTCCGGGGATTTCTTCATAACGCGTTCGAGAATCTTCTCTGCAGCTCTGCTGTCCGGATTTGCATTTAGAGAGAGGCGGAGGTGGATTGGATTCTGTTGATCGATTCGACTGGATCCGGCAGGGCGGCGGCGAGATGGGAGTTGATTACTATAAAGTGCTGAAGGTGCCGAAGGATGCGAGCGAGGAGGATTTGAAGAGATCCTACCGGCGGCTGGCGATGAAGTGGCATCCGGATAAGAACGGAGAGAACGAGAAGGAGGCGGAGGCGAAGTTCAAGCAGATATCCGAGGCGTACGATGTTCTCAGCAACGCGCTCAAGAGGCGGATCTATGATTTGTACGGCGAGGAGGCGCTGAAGTCCGGCCAGTTCGATCCGGCGTCGCCGACTTTCGCCGCTCGCGCTGGAGGAGCGGGGAAGGGGTTCGAGTATAATCCGCGCGATGCCGATGAGATTTTCGCCGAGTTTTTCGGCGAGCCGCAGGGAGGGTATAGAGGGAGTCCTATTGGCGGTAGCTGTAGAGGGGAGAGAGGAACGCCGCGCAAGGCGGCTCCGGTGGAAAACAAGCTGCCGTGTAGCTTGGAGGAGCTGTACAAAGGCTCCAAAAGGACGATGCAGATTTCAAGGATCGATCTTGATGACTCCGGGTACGTTCCAGTCTATGTTTACTCAAAAAAATGTATGAATTTGTTCATCCATAAAAGATTAATTTTTTTTCATTATTATCTAAAATCAATGAATTGCCTGATAGAAATGTGAATTTGTACGGAGTTATGCATCTGCCACATATTATTATATCATTTGGTAAAGATTGGCTGTGAATGATTACTACAGGTCGGTTGCTTTTTCACTTAACTGTGGGAAGGCAGTTAGAATCAAACAAAAAGAGAAAAAGGTGAGGTCGTTGGGAGCAGAAGACTTGTTGGTTTTAGAGCCAAATTAAGTGTGAAAAAGTCTGGCACCAAGTCACTAACATCTAAAACCTTGTCAAACAAAGAAAACAAATTTATACACCCATTGTTGAAAACCATCAGATATAGGTTTCCCTATTATTTTAAATTCTAGTTTGGTTATTAAGACTTTTTTTGGGGAATTCTAATGAAAATTAGTTCCATTTACTTGAATATTTCTCTTATTTCGGGGGGTGAAATCGACTTTTTAGATGTACTATGACGCTTTTGGACAGATGAAGTAGTTGTTCCCTTCAACTCTTCCCTTTGTAAATGTGATTTTTTTCCACTCTGTATATCTTATGTATGTATGGATTTATAAGTTCAGGAGTTAACTTGGATCAATTTATATTACACCATCACAAAAAGGCAAACAGATTGAGGCCTGAATACTAAAAAAACACTGCTCTTTTTTTGTACGAACTAATCGACTAATTTTCAAAAAATTTCAAGCATGCCAGACCATCTTTAATTTTATTATGGTTATAATGAATACTTGAATGTGCTCCTGGATCAATTATTATTTACTTGCTGCTTAAGGGTTATTGTGCAATTCATGATTGCAGCAAGCCTGTGACTGTTGAGGAGGTGTTGGCAATACATATTAAACCCGGCTGGAAGAAAGGCACGAAAATCACTTTCCCTGAAAAAGGGGACTACGCTCCTCTTTCAGCCCCTGGGGATCTCATTTTCGTCGTGGAGGAAAAGCCTCATGCTGTGTTCAGGAGGGATGGGAATGATCTCGTCGTCCACCACAGAATCTCCTTAGTCGATGCTCTCACAGGGAGTACTATCAGCATCACGACGTTGGATGGAAGAGTTCTAACGGTGCCAATAACCGACATCATCAAGCCCGGGCACGAGCAAGTCATCCCAAATGAAGGGATGCCGATATCAAAAGAACCAGGTAAGAAAGGGAACTTGAGGGTCAAGTTTGATATCAAATTCCCTTCGCGGCTAAGACCAGATCAAAAATCTGAATTGAGGAGGGTACTGGGGTAGACCAGGTGAATAATAATAAGAACCACACCCAATTGCCACCTTTAGCCTTGGTTATTTGCTAACAAAGATAGGGGAAGTGCTATATTTATGTAAATACCTGACCTTTATCGTAGCGAGGATATATAATTGTCCATACCACTAGGAACCAATGTCTAGACGCTCTTAGGCAGGGACTAATAGAGATCTTGCCGGAGACCGGAGTTTGTAGGAGCAAAGACTGAAGGTTTTCCTTTATTAAGTGTAGCTTGGCTTCCTACTCTTGCTGCCATTACTTAATTATTATCATGTGAGTTGTCAAAGTTAGATGTAGTGTTTGTTTTGGGCAGAGGTAGATTGTGGTTTCCAATTGTGAACATCTTTGTACTGGGATCATCTGGGATGCAAATAAGATTCATTTGGTTTCTTGACAATGGATCAATCTTTTCTTGATACTCACATGCTCCCAGAAGTATGGGTTTCAGTTGCATTCTTTGAGTGTGCTTGAAATTTTAAATGAGTTTGCGTACCGATTTGCTTCAACGGATCGTCAGTCCTAGAAAGTTTATTGTAGAACATCATGTTGGAAAGTTGAAATAACACACGGATTTATCTGAGAGTCGTCATTATGCTTTCAGATTGACTATTAAGAAATCACCGTAAGTAGGAGTAAAATATAGAGAAAATATCAAATTAAGAGCTCCATATTCTTCTGATGCATTCAGCACACACAAGCGCCCATGATATTCAATTATGATGTGGCCCTCATTAGGGGTGTTCAAAAATATCCGATCCGAAATATCCGTCCACGATCCGGGCCGATCCGATCCGAAAAATGGATATCCGATCCGATATTTTAGCTTTCGGAAATTTCGGATCGGATACCCGAAAAAAATCGGATCGGATATGGATTCAATTTCTGGAATTTTTTGGATAAACGGATATCCGATTTTTTTTTGCTATATGTTTTTGGAATTTTATGGATATATATTATGACTATATGTTTAAATGTAATCTTATGTTGATTTTGGAACTCAACCATTTTGGACTTTTTGCATTAGCATTTTAGAATTTTTTGTTTTAATAGTGTTTTTTTGTTTGTTTAGGCAAAATTACCAAAGTTACTCCCAAATTGAATTTGGTGTCATTTTTTTATTAGGCCATTACCAAGTGGTGGAATTTTTCTTTTAGTAAATCTATATTGAATTTGATATTTTGGGTTGATTTTGCTATTTTACCTTTTTTTTTGTAAATTTTGGCTAAAAACTCAACTTTTCGGATAATCCAGTGATCCGATCCGAAAAATCGGATATCCGAATCTCGGATATCCGAATATTTTCGGATCGGATATGGAATGAGTTTTACATGATCCGAGATTTTCGGATATCCGAATTTTTGGATCGGATCGGATCGGATCGATCCGATTGAACACTCCTAGCCCTCATGGCCTCCGCCACTAGACAACTGATGCACACATGGCCAACATAATATGTGAAGAAATCACCCTAAATATGAATAAAACATCATGAAATTTGCACTGAATAAGATTAAAACATAAGTCATTTTCCAATATAGGATTTAAACTTTTTTATTCCCTAAATAAGACTTAATAATGACTAGTGAGAAGAATAATGTCCAAGTGATGTTGGACATTTAATTGAATAATGACTAATAAATAATGACCAATAGTCCTACATTGAGAAATAAAAACATATTCTCCTATATCGAGAAAGTCATTATGTTTTAGCTCTATTTAGATAAAATATGGAGTTCCTATTTTGGTATTTTAACTACGGAATATGTTTTAGGGATAAATATAATAAAATCCTTTTTATACTAATATATATTACTCCCTTTATCCCAAATTAAGTTGTTTGTTTACTATTCACATAATCAAACTTCATTCATTTTCTTTCCCTATTTTCGTTACTCATTTGATAAGAGAATATAGTTATGTCACTTCTTTTTCGCAGAGCTTTTGATATAGTTTTTAATTTTTAAAATTTATTTTTTATTTCCACTTTAGTTCTCTATTAGGATTAATAGATGTATTAAAAAATAGAATATTACGGAGTATTATTTATTATCTTCCTTATTGTATTGGTACTATAATTCTTTTTCTACTTACATTAGAATTTCTCTTGTAATCCCTTCATATAAGGATTATTCTTCATTATTCAATAAGACCAATAATTATCAAATTGTATTATGGTATTGAAGCTAAGGTTTAAAAAACCTAGCCCCTCCTTTTTCGATCGAGAGCATGGAAATCGATAGAGAAGCAGAGAATAACCCACAATGAGAAAAAAAGAAACTCCTCGCTCTCGCTCCAATTGCCAACATTCTCAATCGGGAAAAAACTCAACAAATATACTCTCAAGCTCTTTCGTCATGCAACAAAGATTTTGTTGTTTACTTATAGAGGCTATCCTCACAAACTGCTTCCGTCGGCTCAATTTCAGTACATGTGCTCCAAGCTGCTCCTTGTTGTGGGGATATTAAGAATAACAGATGTAGGAAATAGAATATTATTATTATTCATTACCTTCCTTATTACATTACTTCTTTATTGTATTATTATTACTATAATTCTTCTTTTATCTATATTAGAATTCTCTCTTGTAATCCCTATGTATAAGGATGTGTCCTTTATTCATTAAGGTTAATTATTATCAATTTATATCATTCTCTAATAGATTGCATTAAAAATAACTCCAGTCAAATTTCACAAACTAAAATAGGCGATTTAAATTGAGATGCAGGTAGTACATTTTTTGTTTGATTGAAACTCAAATTTCATCTTGTAAAACTTGAAAAAGTAAACTAGACAAATATACTATGACGGAAGAGTATACTACTACTAAGGCTATGTGTTTAGGGGCGTGAGTAGGGGCTTCACCACCGTACCCTCACTCACGCTCCTTTGCCATGACACACTGATACGGGATTAATTATTATAATTATGATTATTATTATTATTAATGGTTAGTGGTTATTATTATTATATTAGGTAGTATTATTATTTATGGTTAGTTAATTATATTATTATTAGAAAGTAATATTCTATTGTTAGGATATTTGTTACCATTTATAATTAGGATTCCTAGATTATTTAGTTTACTTCTATGGTAAGGATTCTTTAGATGTCTTACTTATAAATGTATCCATTTCAATGAATTATTAATCAATGAATAAAGAAAATACTTTCTACTAAACCTTAATCTCTCTCTTTCTCACCTCTTTTGTTCTTGGAGCTCGAAGGTGCTCGAAATCCTTCCCTATCCCAATACGATACCGTATCACACACTCCGGGTGATAGGGCGTTGCCTTTCTTCAAGTGATGGGCTTCATGCCATTAGGTCTCTATCCCTTTTTATTTATTTATTTTAATTATCAACCAATTAAAATGTAACACATTTTTATCAACCAATCAAAATAATCAATAAGTCCCCCACTCTCCCCTTATGACACACACATTTTAACTCACACCCACCCGCTTACGAGGCACTTAAGTAGCTCTCCATTAAGTCTTTAGCCCAACATATATAACAAATGATCTAATAAGTGACTTTTTTCTAGTGCGTGCAAGTGACTCCACTTGCTTGTTGTTTAAAAACAAGATGGCGCCATTTCATACCAATGCCAAACCATGCTTTTTAATTTGAGGGTAAAAATTAGTTTTATACTCTAAAAATGATCGAAAAAATTAAAAATTGGGCACGAGTACTTTAATGCATTCTTAAACAAATATATTACGGAGTATTTAATTGTAAGTTTTTATAAATGTAATTTCAAAACAATTTCTTTGATTAAAAGACACAAATTGAGTTGTGATCGAGTAATAAAGTAATTTAAGACACTTAGATTAAATAAGTTAAAGATCTTCCAAATAAATAAGATTTTAAAATAGTAAGTGTACATGTATAATTAATCGATTAATATAACATTTTTAGTAGTAACGATTCAGTTTAAAATTTTCAGTTTTCATTTTTCGAGAACTCGCCCCGTTAACTTGAACTACTTGAAACTCTTTTTTGGTTCGGTCCATATAATTTGGTCTCGAACAATGTCATATCGGTATTTAAATTTATCTTGAGGTGTTTTTTCAAAACGTTAAAGATTAATTCAGATCAAGGGAGAATATATCACGTTTGGAACAAGTTTAAAAATATTACTCCCTCCTCAATTTAAACCAAATGTTTCTGTTTACGATGTTTACTGAAATTATTAAGAATACAATTTATTTCAAAATTGAAGAAGAATTAAAAAATAAAATTTACATATTAAAAACATAATTAAAAGTTCTGTGAAACAAAGAGGAATCATGACTAGAAAGTAAATGAAGTTTGACCTTCTGAATAGTAAACAACCAATTTAATTTGAGAGAGAAAGTATAAGAGTGTTTCATCACATTTCTACAAATGAGAATTTCCACACATGTGGGCTAATGATAAACTTTTTTTCCCTAACTACAAGGCATGACCTACATTTATTTTATAGCTTTGATTTGAAATTTTTGTATCACCACATGTCCTAAATTTTTACACCCACATATGATAAACTTTTTTCCTACCTAAATGGATTTACACATATTGATAACTTTCATTTTGAATCTTTGTATGACTCTCCTTTCAATCCGTTTCGACAACTAAATGTTTAAGACTATAAATTTAGGCAAATGGAGGAAAACTAAATATTGAGCTACACTTCCTCGAAAAAAATATTTAACTACACAGATTTGATCTGTTCGCAATTAATAAGAGAAGTGTATTCTCTCTATTGAAAGGCATTGCCAATTAAAGAAAACAAAATGGCAAACTTAAGAGTTGTTATTGTTGTTCTCATGGCTCTAGCTATATGCGCACCTATCTCGACAGCAGTAGAGGAAAAAGGTTACTTTGGAGACAGAAAGCTATTATTACAGTTACCTAAGAAATACAATTCGGCATCACAATCTATTGATGTAATCAAGCCACAACCAACTAAGGGCAACAACCCGGCACCGCAATTTGTTGATGTAATCAAAGTACCAACCGAGATACCTAACACATATAATCGTGGTTGCAATGCTTTTAATAGATGTCGTCATGAGCGCTAAGAGTGTGCTTGCATTGGGATTGCAAGCAGTGTACATTCACTTATATTCTACATCTATGTAAGCTCAATGTCTTTCGAAATAAAATGTTGTGTTTTTTAGATAAAATGATATTCCGTAGACATATTTTTTGCTCTTAACAAGCTCAAAGTCTTTTATGGTTCTGTGCTAAAGAGTGGCCTTTGGATTTGATGTTTTGCTTTGTGATTCGGCATACACTTCTTGCCACACTAATAACGTTGTTACAATGTAATACTCTGTATATGTTAATACCGAGTACCTTTTTTTTTCAAGCTATTCAAATTCAAAGAGGTATTGTCTCCATTAGAGTTCAAACCTATGAACTCCTATTTGAGATATCCACAATAATAATGTCGCTGCATTACAAGGTCTTTGGCATGGTTAGAGGTTTTCAATATTGAAATGTCTTATTTCCTAGAACACTATATTGATAATAATAATAATAATAATAATAATAATAATAATAATAATAATAATAATAGAAATAATAATACTTCTAATAATAATAGTAATAATTGTAATAATAATAATAGTAATAGCAATAATAATGATAGTAATAATAAAAATAATATTATTAATTATAGTAATAATAATAGTAACAATAATAATGTTATTGATAGTAATGATAATAATAATAATAATCATAATAATCATAATCATAATATTAACAGTAATAGTAATAACATTATATTACTAATAATATTGGTAATAATAGTAATAGTAATAATAATAATAATCTTAATCTTAATTTTATTTAGATCTAGTATGATCTGATCTGATCCGGACTAATCTGATCAGGTCTGATCTGATCTGGTATGATTTGATCTAAGTAATAAGCATAAAAAATAAGTTAAACGGAACGCCGTCTAACTCCACTCTACACACTAAGTTCATTCCATTAGTTTCAAAATTATTTTAATACTTATTCAAACAAAATCATTTTTAATCCATGAACTCATATACGACGACATTTTGCAATTTTTATATTTTGATAAAAGTTCTAGTTAAAATCATTATATAATAATAATTTAATATTAAATTGTTTTTATTCTACTAAATACGGTGTATAATTTAATTATTAAATATGATACCTTTTTAAAATAAAAGTTGTTGTTTTCATAATAATTCACATTTATTAACATTTATATAGATTTTTGCTCTGGAAAATAAATAGAAGAAAATAATGGTGAATAACTTTAAAGATTATACTATGTATAAATTTTTTTAAGTAAAAATTCTATAACCATGTTTTTAAAATAATAAAAAATCCATGCATCATAGATTTAAAAATGGTGAAATACATATTGGTTTAATACTTAGAAAATAGAATATTTTATACAAAATCAATGGTCGTTCAATGTATTAACAATAAAAGTTATTTTAATTAATGAAAATTTAAAAGAAGAGGCACTAAAGGTTTATAATTAAAATTAAAACTAAAATACTCCGTATATATTATTTTATTTGAAAAGTAATAAAATGAAATAAATGATGACTAGTTTTAAACATTTTTTTCTAATGTTTTTAACATAATAAAGTTATACGGAGTATAACTTTTTTGAATAATTACATAATGATATATTCGGGGTGTATTTAGTTTACGGGTGTATTTAGTGTTTTAGCGAGTGTGGCTATCACTACCCTTTGATGTTTTGCTTTGTGATTCGGCGTATACTTCTTGTCGCACTAATAACTATTTTATAATGCTTATCTATTAATACAAAGTAACTTTTTCTCAATCTATTCAAACTGGTACGTACTACCCGTATTAGAATTTCAACATGTGAACTCTCATTTGAAAGATCTACGATAAGAATGTTACTCGATTACAAGATCTTTGGCATAGTTAAGGGTAGACCTAGGCAAATAGACCCGGAAGCGACTACCAGAACCGAATGATCCGAAACCAAAATGATATGAAAACTAAAGATCCAATTAATAACCGAATAATCAAAATGATTTGATCTGAACTGAAATCGAACTAAATATATCCACACTCAATTTAAACCTAAAACTGATTAGATCCGACTAATTCGATCCAAAACCAATTAGACCCAAAACCAGTTATATCCGAAACTGATAAGACTCGGAATTTGTTAATACCAAAAACCAAATAGCGGAACTCTCTAGATAGGAACAAAAAACTATGAAAATGCCAAAATAAGAGTCATAAGTCTTTTAATACCATAATAGGAGTTCACACTGCCATTGTTACGGTGTCACACTCACCACATTGTCACATTGTAATTGCCACACTACCACCGCCACACTATCATCCGTCGCCGCCGGCCACCTTAGTGCCGTCGTGGATCGCCAACGGTTGACTAATCACTCTCACACATTACACTGTCATCACTTTTTCGTCGCATTGCCAACACATACTCTTACACGATACTGCCATTATACTCATGTTTTAGCCTTAAAAGACTTAGGACTCCTATTTTGGTATTTTCATAGGTTTTTACTCAAAAAATTGTTGTTACGTACTCCTAATTTTATGATAAGAACTATCGGCTACCCCCAATTTTAAAAATATCGTGTGAGGTACCTCAAATTATTCAAAAATGGACCAATAGGAGCCATCCGTCAATTGCTCCGTTAATTTTTACTTCATCATCCACATCATCATCATCATCTTATTTTCCTCTTCCAATACAGACCCTGTTAGCGTATATTCTTATGTATATTAGTTTGTGTATATCTTGTATCTCATTGGGCCTATCTTATCGGGCTTGTAGCTGTAACTTGTATATATATCCTCTGGTATCAATAATACAACCAAGTCATTCAGTTATCAAAATTTTACATGGTATCAGAGCTAAACCTGGGATATCACGTGAAACCCTAGGTCTACCGCTGCCGTCTTTCATTCGCACGTCTCCTCCGCCAGTTCGCCGGTCTTCCTCTCCAGTCGTCCACACCGGCGAGTAGTCCGTCGAAGTTGCTGTCCCCGTCATCTGTCTTCCTCGGCGTTCCAGTCTCCGTCGAAGTTGCTGTCCCAGTCATCCGTCCCAGTTTTTGTTCCTCGCCATGTCTGCCGAAGTTGCTACCACAACAAAGAAAACCCGCCTGATTCTGTTGAAACACGGGCATGTCACGTTTTCGTACTAAAGCCGTGTTTGTTTTTATGACAGGTTTTGATAATGCCAAACCGCCGTGATCAAGTCAAACTTTGAATATACAAGGCGAAGAAGGAAGACAAGAACAAGAGCTAAAAGAAGACCAAGAACGAAGACCTTAGTCTTAGTGTCGTGAGTCGGTCTTCATTGTGATCAAGACCGACCCAATCTTTACACCTTGGCTCTTTAGGCTAAAAACCTTCATTGCACTTCTTAAATCATAAAAATGTTTTTCAAACATGTTTAAGTCATTAAAAACACTTGGTGTTCGCCCAAACCAAAAACCAAGCCATCCGGCGTTCGGGTTTCAGAAACCGGCGTTCGGCTCTCGGTTATCGGCTATGGTTTTTGGCGTCCGAACCAACCAAGTGGTTTTCAACTTTTTATGATTGGTTTTTACTCTTTGGCATGTTTAAACGGTTCTCCAACAAAAACACCTTGAAAACCATCTTTCGCTTTTGGTCGTTTGACAAAAATCATTCAAAACGGCATAAACTTGGCTAGCCGTGGTTTTCACTCAAATG